ATCTCTTGGCCTCGGGTAGAACCCTGAGCCTTTGCTTTTGTACATGAAATTGAAGTGAAGAAAATGTGACGCATGTGCACGAGAAAAGATTAAAATAAATGTCATTTGCCTGATGTGCACAGAATAGATGATCTTTTGATACACTGCTCATTTGTTCCTCCTCTTCTTTCCCCTCTACAGGACAGAACAAAGGAACATATTTTAACTAGGTATCATTCAGTTGTCAAGAAATCCTCCCCCTCCACCCTGCCATGTCAGATACTTCTCCAGGTTCACAGATAATGTTCTTTACAAAGCAAATGTTGGACTTAAGTTAAAAATGAAGTTTCCATTTCAAATACAAGATGTATTTACAACTACAGATATACCTCAACAATTCCATATTACATAGTCCACTAAGAGCAATAAAAGCCTGAGAACACTGAGCTAAAGCCCTATTTCTTATATAATTTGCCCCAAATATCTTTATTTGATCTCCCAGCAATTCTCACTGGAAAGCCAAACTCACACTCACTCATGCAGCCAGTTTCAATCTTAAAGTTACCAAGAAACCAAGACTGAACCCTAACAGGTTCATTAAATACAGTGCACAGACTCTTCAATAGTGTTAGTCTATAAATAATTTTATACCTTCCTGATCAAACAACACATTTTCAATAAGGGCTCTAATCAGCTGTACCCACATCACAATCATTTTGGATGGCAATTATCCCATTGTGAGCAAGTGCAGTAGCATCCCCAAATGTTGAACATCACTGGGGTACTGAAATACAAAAATTCAAGTTCAGTAGAACTCTATTATTTATTGCTGCCATGAAGTTTTTTTTATTTTTATTAGATTATAACTATTATGTTTTTAAGATTTTTGTTTTAGGAGACAAAAGTTAGGCAGCATTGAAACAATTAGAGGACAGGTGCTTTAGGGCTACATTACAGGTGTCTTTCAGTGCACCTGCAATTAGAAAGCATGGAAAGCTTCAAGAAAACTAAAAACACAGCTATATACGGTCTATTCTTGCAGCTAACTTGTGGCAACTGCTTTTTGGTACCAGACCTCTGAGGTTAATACTTTCTCAGAATGCTGACAAAAATGGAAAATATATTGTAATATTGCTGTAGATAAAAATGGGCACAGGATGTGTGTGTCCTGTTTATTGGTCCCCTGCTTAACATGGAACATGCATGCTCACATCCTTTTTTGCACTTTTATTAGTTATGTACTTAAAATGAAAGTAGCAGTACTTCAGCTGGGCTAAATGCTCTGTAACAGCTGGACAGGATTGCATTATGCTTTGAAGATATCTGGAATTTATGACAGTTTTATGACACTGCACACATTTTAGAGAAGCCAGGAAAATGCAGTACTTGGCACAGAACTCTGAATCAGCGTGTCAGCCCCTGAACCAAGCTGACACATGGTCAGATGTGACATACGGTTTGTTGTTAGCTTTCAGCACAAAACATCGTGCTGAAAACTGATGGAGACTCATTCATCCTTTATCCAAATCCTCCAAAAAAACAAACAAAAAAAAAAGAAGTCCACAACTCATCTTAAGACACCAGTTCTCCTCTTTCATGACTTAAGGATCTGTTGAGTGCTGAAATCAACTCACACTAACTGAAGTGAATGCAATGCTGCCTGGACTGAACAGCCTCTAGATGAAAGTTAATAAAGAACCTGTCTGCTGCTAGCTCTGCAGTGACCTTCTGCAGATTGCCATTCCCAAAGCAAAGCTTCAAGGAGAAGTTCTGCCTGCAAATAGCATTCAGACAGTATGTCTGTTACAAGGAACAATATAAGAGAAAATGCCATACAGTTTCTTGTTTCAATAACAATTTCTTATTTTCATTGGCTGTTTTGGCCTTTGTTTTTTATTCAGGTACTCCTGAAAAGAATACCAGGTTTGGTGATACAGTTAAGCATTGTTTCGTGACGAAAATATTTCTATTCATTGCTTTCCTTCCAAATTTGCTTAAATAAAACAAGAAAGTTGCACAATGAAGTAATTTATTAACCATTTTAGAGTAGTTATTATTTTTTTGTAATGCATTCATAGCAGAGAGAGATGTAAGATGGCTTTAAAAAATATACTGCGTGGTATTCCATGTTTGTCAGAAGGGAAAAGAACAGTTTGACAAATTCCTGTGAATGTGTACGAAGAGTTCTAAATAAAATCCTCCCATCATAATGGGCTGAAATTAGAGCTTCACAATGCCATAGTCTTTGAGTTGTGTAGCATTCACAACATTTCAAGCTTCTAAAAGAGACAGATAAGACTCTTAATCAAAAGCTTGAAAGTAATTTCCTGGGGGGATAGGAGAGCAGAAGTAATTCTTCTTCCACTTTATTTCAGCAGACAAAAAAAAAAAACCACCAGTTGCTGCAAGCAATTAAACAGTACTATATTCTCCACGAGCATCTTATGGATACAGGAAACCTTCTGTCTGTGAAGCAGCACAGACCTTGATTGTGTTTTTTTTCCCCCATTTAGTATTTTTAAATGGAATAAAAATGGAATAAAGTGCAGCTCAAGAGCTACAGCTGGCCTTCACAGAGAATCATGTTGAATCATATGCTGCTGCTTATTAATAACAATAAACCAACCACATGGTTGTTTCTAACATTTTAAGCAACTGGCAGCTCATCCATAACTCTGTACATTAAAAACTTTTTTACTCATATCTGGTTATCTGTTCAAGTTCTATTCATTGTTTCTTCAACTGTTTTCCCAGTCTGAAGTGCATAACAATGTCTGGAATGAGAGCTAAAACACCACCAGGAGCAAGCATAGCACTACATCAGAAACGAGGCTTAAACTCATGTGCGTGGTTCCACCTCCATTGGTGAAATATGAACAGTTGGAATAATTCCTCAAATATTTTAAACACACGTTTGTACAGAAGGCTACATCTTGAGAGTCTCCAGGTGAGGTGAAGAAAAGAAAACCAAAGTGTCTGTATTTGAAAACTAACAAAGATGTGAACACAGCTTTCCCTGTGGCAAAGACATACTTAATAAATATTGGCTTTCAGAGCAGAGTTTACTTGCACATCAGTAATTTTACAAGATCGGCATTAGAAGTAAATTGCTATGATGTTAGGAGGACAAGATGCACGTATGGACAGGGATCTTCAGTCACCTGAGCTCTGCTTGGCTAACGTGGCAGCTCAGACAGAAGCTGGCTGGCAGTCAGCTTGCAGGTAGCTCTAAAAGCATGGGCTGGCTCCTGCCCAGGTGGCGAGCCGAACAAAAGCAAGCAGTGGTACAGGAGAAAGGTAGAACTTACACAGATGGGAAATGCTGAGGATAGAAGGGATTGTCACAGAATAAAGGACACTAGGAGGAGCTGGAGGTGTGAAAAGGTACCCTGGCAATATCTGGGGGGAGAGGGAAGCAGAAGGAGAGCTAGAGTGCCTGAAAGAGAATTGAATGAGGAAGGGAGATGTTCCTTGTTCTGATGCTTGTTTACTGCATGTTACTTTTGAAACCACATAGTTTTAACACAAAAATAAAAACCACTGAAGGCTCTTCTTTCTAGACCAAGGTCCTTATTCTCGTAGATAATGGTTTTGAGACATCAAAAACTAGATAAGCACTATTCACTACGAATGCAATGTTAGACACGTTCTTATCATTACACCACTTACACTGCATACAACCAAAACTGAAATTCAGGAGATGCTGAAAATAAATGAATTCTATACAACAGAGATGTAGATAAAAATGAGTGTGCTTAAAGCAGAAGACATTCTTGTCCAAAAAAGTAACTCCTTATAGCCTCATGATTTTATTCTACTACTCCAAGAGAAGGCATCCATTGCTTATGCAGATGCTATATGCCACAGTTTCCAGCAGTAACATAATCAGAGAACCTTACTATAATTGCTGAAGTATAGTAAGAGTCAGAAGTTATTCTTCTACTAGTGTCTATAAAACTCAAGAAGAGTAATTCGAAGCAGCAATCTATTTAAGCAGAAGAAAGCTAAGAAAGCTGCTTTACATTTTGCTTGTATGTGCACACAACTGTAGAGTGAAAAAATTGGCAGGCTTTCTATTACTTTTCCTAACCAGGTGTTAAATTTATGTATACCTCACTTCAAGGCACTATGAGAAAATACTTCTGTATTTTGTTTTACAGGATTTGTAAAGAAATATAACATCCTGCCTTTTTTAAAATGTAGGGAAGGAGAAAAGCTCTGTCCACAAAGCAGCTTATCCTCAGAAATAGCACAGTTTAGCACTAGACGTGCCACAGGAAGGGGGGGAGGGGGATTATAGCACAAGCCTCTCCATTGTACTGAAAGAAGACTTTTCCTATGGATGGGCCATCATCCTGTTATGTGGCTCTGAACTTCCTCCTGCATTGTGAGCCTCAAGTCATGGAAACAGTACAGTTCTTAAACTGAGGATTGTGTTGGGAATTCCAAAAACTTTCAATACAAGTTAACCAAACAAATACATCACGGTCAGATTGTTAACATCCTGGTTTAGTTTGCTGAAGCCACCATTCTTTTGAAAAAATAATGTAATCAGGAGAACTCTGGATAGATATCTTGCTACTTCTTCCAGGTTCTGATATCATTCAGACTAACTTCAAAAACCACACTAGAAAGCTAAATACAAATGCAAGACAACACATTTGTCTAAAATCCAAGGCATCTTACTATATCTGCATTTAGGAAACATTAGCTTAAAAATTAAAACGCTGAAGTTTCAGTTTCAAAAGTGCAATCTGTAAAAGGCTGTTGTAAAGCACCTCAATAGGAGGTCACCTGCCCCCTTAAGAAAAAAAACACATTAACAACATGGAGCAAAGTGACTAAGGAGCTATTAATGTTAGGTTAGAACTTGTAGCACGTGTTCCAAGAAGAGAGTACAGTACATACCAGTGCCATTGCAATCTATGCAGTCAACTGTGGAGCAGCCTGGCTTATGCCACTGGCAGAGTCTAATTTGTTGCAGCTACAAGTATGCTATGTTAAAACAGCTCTACAATTACCTGATATCCTTCTGTTTTTTTCTGGCACCATTTCAGCAAGGCATTTCTCTTCGATCCTCCATATTCTCTTGCAAGGGCAGACAAAGGATCTTTCCTTTCTTCCCTAGGAATGAGGGAGAAGTGCAACTTATAGCTAATTATTTTTCATTCACAACAGATACACATATTACAAATGCTAAAAAAAAAAAAAAAAAAGCTATCATGAATTATTGTGACTGAAAGTAGTAAGGTGCAGCACTAGTAAGAAAAAGAATACAGAGAGATACCTGCCAGACTTAAGAATTACTTTGGTGAAATACTTTCATTAGGAAACCACGTGTGTTTTTCCCCCTTAAACTAAACTTCTTCTAGGTATTTCAATCTCAATGATATTATTTCCTAACAGTTTGGAAAGTAAACTCACAATATTGTAAGTTCCAGCTTGAACCATTAAGCTAACTCAAGTGACTTTATTTTGTATTTAGAAAGAGAATAAACTGATGTTATCTCTTCTGCAGCTCATGGCTGATTACAAGTGTCACCTTGAAGCAACAAGTTTGCATATTAGCCACATGTCATTACTAACAGAATACTTGCCTGGGATCTGGACTTCTCAAAAAGGACAGGGGAGATCTACTTTGTTGATCTGCTACATGATATACTGGAACAAAAACGATTCACCCTTTTTAAAACATCAAAGTTCAATTCCCAATAAATGCCCTCTGTAATGAAGATATTGATGAAAAGACTGCTGTTATGCAACTTAGTTGCTGGATGCAAAGTGTGCGAGCAGTTGCTCTTGTTTTTTACACAATCACAGAATGTGTGAGGTTTGAAGGGACCTCTGGGTCCACATGGCACGACCTGTGCTGAGGCAGGACCTTCCACAGCAAGGTGCCCAGGCTTATGTCCAGGTGGCTTCTGAAGATGTCCACGGAGGAAACTCCACAGCCACTCTGGGCAGCCTGGGCCTTTGCTATGTTACCTGCACAGCATGAAGTGCTTCCTGATGGCCAGACAGAATCTCCCTGGCAGACAGTTCCCCCTGAACCTCCTCTTCTCCAGTCTGAACAGTTTTTACTGTCTTGGCACTGGTAGTTTTGTGCCATCTTCAAACTTACTGAAGGGTGCACTCTGCTCCATCACCCAAATGGTTAATGAACACAGCTAACAGAACCAGTACAGAACCCTGAGGTAGGCTGTGAGCAAATGGCTTCCAGCCAGACTTCACCACTGAACTTCTCACCAAGCCCACACAGAACAGCCTGATTATGAGAATCCTATGGGAAGAGCATCAATGGCCTTACTCAAGTCCACCTCAGAGGAGATCAAAGAAGGTCACCAAAACAAGTAACAATGGGGCTGCATTTTCCACCTACAATCAAGATCATGCAACTGCAGAGAGAGAGCTTCAGCACAGAGGTTTGGGAGAACGTTCTATTAGAACTCAAATTTAAAGTTCCCTCTCTTTACATTAATCCATGCTGTTTAGCTGTGAGCCGTACAACCTGTCTTCAGATTCCAGTAAATGCACATGGTTTATCTTGAGTCCTCCCAGTTAAGAAAACATTGCTGAAGGAAATAAAGTAGTGTAAATTGTATGGGGACAACGAGAAATATTATGACAGACAAATCTTATAAGTTAGTATATCAGGTCAACTGAACTCCTACCCAAAATAAGCCAATGAAGTTACAGCTAGAGCAGAGAACAGTAAGCTGCAAATGTTTGTTTTAGTGCTTATTTTACCACAGCGTTCAGAAAAAGGTAGGGGAGAAAAACCTCCATTCCAAAACCACACAAGTCCAGCAGCAGTGTCATGAGGAGTGTTCCCAGAAATCCATCTCTCACTGCACACACACTGCTGCAGACTGCAGTGTTGCTCCTGTTGGAGAGCTGGGCCTTTCAGTCAGTGCTCAGGCAGCACAGTATCACAGCTGTACAATCACACCATGAAATGACACATCATCTGCCACGGTCTGCAGGCTATCATCAGTGCAAGTTTATGTTATCAGTTCACACTTCGTACACAAGTCTTTGAATCTTTTTTATTGCAGGGCTTACCTGGTCTAAATTCTGGTACTAACACACACATTATTCACTGCTGCTGGTAAAGTAACCACAGATCCAAACTCAACTTACTTTCTGAAAGGAGAGCAGCAGCAAGGCATGTTTCAACTGATTTCAGGGAAACATTTTTATCATCCCCCACAGTTGTAAATAGCTTCACAATTTCATATTGTAATTATTACAGACTGCAATGATTCTGAAGGCTAAGGATATGATATTACTGCTGTACAAAAACTGTCCGTTCTGTGCTAAACAGACCTGAGAAAATAACTGAGTCTCTGTCTGCCAGTTTCCCAGTGTAAGAGGCAGGGATAAGAACATACTTTACTTGCGTAACATGAGGCTTAAATACTTTGAACTCCTTTAACTGATAACATTGATAAATTTAAACATTTTCCTATCTGTCAAGACTTTTCTTTTTAACGTGTAACAAAAAAGAGGTGCCTGGCTAGTGTTACCTAGGCTTGCATTATGATTTCATGTGTGGTGCAAACGACCCAGGCCCATTGACTCCTGGCTACTCAGAAGGCTTAGCACTGTCTGGAATTAAGACCTAGTTGTGCTGCTTTTCTTCAGCTGTGATTACTAAGGCAGAAGTTTATCATGTGTTCTCCCCTGGACCAAATCACTCTGAAAGGTTTGTTCAGCATGCTGGAGCTCACTTCTTGGACTCAGCTTTACAGTATTTTGAGCAGATGTGATGTTATTATTTAGTGGCATTGTTTAGTTTGGTTTTCTAGTGTAGCATATAGTTCTGTCATTGAGCCTATAAGCTCTAAAAACTATACTGAGCTGCAGTGAACTTCAGAAAGCTTCACTTTCTGAAGTTCTCAAAGGTTACTCAAGATTGTTTTCAAGGAGAGGCAGTAAAATCTGCAGTCTTCCTGCCAACATTATATTCTAGATACTTGCAGACAGCTACAAAATTAAAATCTTACTTTATCACATAAAAGGGCTTTTACCTTATTCGACTTCTGGTTGTAGGGGTGACTGATGCTGTAGGGGAGGATGAGAGGGACAGCTGTGGTGAGGTGGTACCCATTGCCATGAGAGATGCTGGAGACCCTCCATCGGGTGCACTGATATCCCGTTTGATTTCTTCACTACTTCTTCGAGACACTGTGTGGTAAAAAATGTCCATGTATTTAACATTGCCAACATTAAATCCACTGCTTCAGAAACCACCAGTGGAAATCCATACATGACACATTTACTTCACATTTCCTATCTAAGAAGTACCAAGGATTTAGAGATCAACAGTACTGATAAAATTTGTATCCGAAAGCAAACAAAATTTGATGAATGCATCTAACAGCATATCATTACTTGCACTGGGAGAAGGACAACGTGTTTCCCTGCCTCCTTATCTCTGTTTAAAGAAAAAAAACCCTACATTTAAGCAGTAAAGTGTAACAGCCAGCTACAGTTTCGTGGAACATATTCTTCTAAGCCAAAATTACTTCTAATGCAAGGAAAGGGTGACATAGAAGCTGTCTGTTACATGCAACAATAAGGACCTAGAAATGCAATTAAAAATCTGTTCAGTTTCACTTGATGTGATAGTTATTATTTTTTAACCACCAGACTTATTTTTTATTGTTTAATTTTTCTGTTGTAAGCTACTCCAAAAATCCAACCTATTGACAAAATCTTAATGGTGTGAACATAAAAGGTCTCTCTTGAAAAAGTAAGACAGATCTGGAAGTACACGACTGAAATCAGAGTTCCTAATTTTGTCATCTAAAAAACGTGATATTACCCGAAATAGATTTGGCACTTTCCATTGCAGGAACTCTTGGCAAAGATGCTGGTCTGCTGGTAGAAGACGTTCTCAACAGATGTTCTGCAGAAAGAAGACAGAACACTGTTTACAAAGATGCCAGTTAAGCACAAGTGATCAGGTACACGTTATGAATACTGCCTACCAGTGCCTGAGTTGGGCTGTTTTACTGAGAGCAATATATCCTTTTCTATACGAAAGAGGCCTAAAATTTGCACATTGCCAATGTAGTTCACTCATGTATGATGATACATTCTTAATCCTTTTACAGTATGGCCTCTCTTACACGTTCAGCTGCCCTAGGCTACTGTAAAGGAATTGTTAAAGCTGAAGTCCAAGCAAGGAATCCCCACTTAGAATGCAGCAAAAAATGCTTGATGTGTCACTCACAGTGTGGATTGGCAAAGCACACTGTTTTGTCTGTTATGTGAACTTATTTTTGTTGTTTTTGTTAGTTTGGTTGATTTTTTGTTTGTTTTTTAAACAAAATCTTGCTTTCTTGTCTCCCCCTGCAGTGGGATCCAAGAGGTACCTTAACAAACCATAGGGAAGCTCTGTTCTGCCCACTGCCACTGAGTGAAATCAAACTGCAACAAAACTAATTTATGAAGCATTTAATCAGAAGTAACACCCTTTTGGTTAAGTACCCTCCTAAATAAGTATTCCTTCAGCTAACACCTTAAGCTGTGTGCAAATGTTTACATATTCCTGTTGCTGCAGAAACACACACAAGGCAGTAGTTTGAGTACAAAAATCAAGAAAAGGACAAATTGTGATTCAAAATAAAATGCTAAACCCATTTCAATACTTGACCAATTATTAGGATACATTGCTAATAAAGATACTTTAAAACTATATACAGTTATGAACAGGAATTCTGTCTGGCACATTCTCTGTTGGAATGTAGTCCTGCTCCTGTGTTGACTGCAATGAAAACGCAAAAACTACATAAAGCATACCACTCAATTTGGGTCCAAGCTTATGTCTACTCATGAACTCTGTAACAATTAAAGAATCCTAAACTATCTTCTTGGAAGGGCATTTCAATATTTCTAAAAATGTCAATGTTTCTAAAATTAAAACTCCAGCTGCATTGAGCAAAACTTCAATATGCACTGAACAAAAGCAAGAAGGAAATCTGGCACATCCAGACCATTACAAAATGTTACACGCACAAAAAGTACCCTTTATAAAGCATCAGACCTCAGGAATACCAAATTGAGAGGAAATATTCAGTCTGGAGTCATATGGGTATTATCTTGAGAAACATCTACAAAAAAAAAGCCTAAAACAGGCATAAATCAGAGAGCTACGCCCAACACATGATAGCCATTCATTCTCACAGGAAGAGCACATTGTGAGCAGTGCTTTTAGAGACAAAACAAAGTTCACAGAACGGGGAATTATTGGAAAACAGATAAATCAACACTCAATTTAATTCCATTCAATTTTTCTTCTGACTCCTGAAGATTCAATATTTATGAAGTTTATATTTGGTTATTCACATGCAATACAATGCCAAGTATCATCCCAGTTTCTGTTTGGAAAAGAAAACCCAAGCACAACACATCATATGGCCACAGAGGTGAAAACAGCAGCACAAAGTCATCCTGAATGTCTCACATCTTGATTTTGCAAGTATCAGTTTATGCACACATGAAAAACAGATTCATGCCCCATTATCTGGACAAAAATGTGGTTGAAGATTCACCGTATTTGATGAAACAAGTAAAACCTTTTTGTTTCTTGTTTTACATTTAAAATATAATGAAGTCAAAATAGTTCACTTTAGCCCTGTACGATACAGTAATGCTTTAGATAGTAAACACTGTAAGATATAGAAAAGTAGCACTGCTAAATAAGTGCAAACGAACTCGAGTGATTACCTTGAACAGGGATTTCAGCATAGCTTGGTCTTTTGTCTGTCAGTGTAGCAAGGGGTTTAGAAGCAGAGATTGGTCCGCTTATAGAATGCCTCTGAAACAGAAAACACAGTGTGCCAAACAGTTTGATATATACAAACCCAGTAGAACAGAATAAAACACACAAAACACAACTTCTAAACATGCTTTCAAGAGGGCAAAAAAATGAAGTGCCTTTTTTCAGGTGTTTATCCTGAACTCAGTTTCAACCTTTCAGAGAAGCTTAAATGAGTCTTATCTTCATGAGATAATAAAGCTCTGATGTTTCTCACCAAATCATGTAGTCAAGACAGATAAATCCAACACTGCGATAGAAAAGTTCACAGTATCTATACACTGCAGCATCCTATAGCATAGGATTATAGGGCTACTTATCTAACATTTGGAGTCTAACTAATACTATGCTTTTGTGCTCAAAATCAAATGCAGAGCAAAGAGCTGCCAATAACAAAGAATCCAAGTACAAAATACAGTATGGAGAATTTTATCACTTTGTATATCAAAAGTCTTGTATGCATGCAGCAAAGACTATTCCCTTAAACATGTAAATGAAAGTGACTGTAACCATGAGCCACACACAGCTCTCCCTATAACAGCTTCCCACAAGAATTGGTATTTTAGGTTTTTGTTACCTTTAGAGATTATTTCATTTCCTTCAGGTTCTGGTTTTTGTTTTTTTGTTTTTAATAATAAAACATTGCATCACAGCGACAGCCTCTTTGTTTCTAATAAAGAAGTAAATAAAGGAAACGATAACAACAGTAAGGTGATGAGGCTGGATAACATCATGCCACTTGGCCAGCTTTGGCACTGTCACTACGAAGGCAGAGCAGTACAGAGCTTGGCCAGGAAAGGCAGGTACACACAGAGCAGGCACACTGCAATGCTTTATCACGTTCTCAGCTTCCGGGTATCACTGAAAAACAAACATCCTTTACGGATATTGGCAGAAAATGACCACATTACTCAACTGATAGCCTGCTGTATCTTGGTCCTGTCTCCTCGTTATAAAACAAAATGTTTGTTTTGTTGCTTTTTACTCCTATTGACACTGCAGACTGAGCTTAACTTCGCTATTGCTAGTTCCTCGTTAAATATCTTACTGCTACAACTATCAGTAGTAACATACTGACTCAGGAAATGAGAGGAAAATGAGCCAGCTAATACGTTCATACATCAAGTTCTGCCTGGCAATACTCTGGCAGTAATAGTGCACAAGTGTCTCATGAAGAATTACTTTTCCTGAAGCATTTTACAAGTATTAGAAACATTTCTGCTCAAGTGAGCTTCTGTTGAAGCTGCAGATGAATCATTCACCATTTCTCTTACATCTGATGCACAGTGAAACATGTATGGATCCTACCAATTCCTTGATAAACAGACTTTGTTTTCCTTCAACTAGTAATGCATTCAAGCTTGTTTAACTACTAAACAACAATTTTCCTTAACACCAGTGACCAAATTCCTCAACACTAAATAAAACGAGATCCAAAGTTTTCCCATGCTTTTTGAGGCTACTCATGGAGACTCCCAATGGGACAGAAATTACTGAAGATGCTTTACAATCTGTTCTCCTGGTTTTCATTCACCCCACGCTGAGGTCTAGCAAAGTAGTACTTCAGATGAGGTGCAATGAAGAAAATTGTTCACTTAGATGTTTTTATGCAGTAGTCTCTGTATAATGTAATCACAATAAGAGATAAAATTAGGGTTATTAAGATCATCACCAGTTACTTTCCCACAGCCATTTCTGGCCTCTGCTAGCTGCCTGTTACTCTCTTCTTCTCCTTTTGTAACAAGAGTTAACAGCCCCAGAAGAGGAAAAGGCACACAAGACAGAAAAAAGGAGAACATCTGACACTTCAAATTTGAGGCAGAACTATGGCAAGAAGAAAAAATCCCTTCAACTATCCTGCTTCAGACTCTTAATTGGTGCAATCTGCTGTAGCTGTGACAGAAATGTGACCCTCAGCTACTATCCAGGTATCTATTTCTGACCACTCTGCACTTCAGTAGGTACTTAAATGAGTACCTCAATAAGATGTTCTGCCAAATTCAAAGAAAGCACAGCCCTTTGCACACCAAGTAGTTACACTGTGGAAGTTTGACACTGAATAGGCTGGAGCCTGAAAGCTTCTTGCATGCTCAAAACAGAACTGGACATTCACTGGTGAGCAGGGAATCTGAAACCACATCTGCTTCTTTCAACTACAAAACCAAAAAAGAAAGTACTTGGGGAAACCAGCAGTGATAATTCTCCATCCTTATAAATCTTTCTAGGAAACTGCTTTGCCACTTGTGGGTTAAGTTTTGCTGTGTTCTACATTCTGAAAAGCAATGTATTTATGTGTGTTTTTCCCAGCTGTTTTGCAATATTGTTAAGGTCTGGTATAAAACCACTAAGCTTTACTATGGGCTCAGACCCAAAGCTAGAAAGGGGTTTTTGGCTGCTTGTTTTCCATTTCTCAGTAAGTGCCAACTCTAGTATTTCCTGTGACAGCTTTTAAAATCTGATGATAAGCACTGCAACAATCATACAGAGAACAACCCTTCCACCTTTACTCAAGATCTTAAAGCATAGATTAGTACTGTAAGGTGAGAGATTCTATAGATCAACTCATACAGAAACCACTTATAAAAAGACTGCTTTACAATTGCAAGAGAGCAAAAAAACCCCAAAAAAACACAAAACTAACTTCTTCTTACAAGAGAATGGAAATAAACAGAATACAAAGGAAGACCAACAAAAACAAAGCACCTACCAGAGAATGTCACATCTAAATACTTTAGAAAACTGTCATCAAGAGTGACAGAGCTCAAAAAGAAATTATTGAAGTAACACACTGAAGACAACAGGAGGATAACTGACATTAACAGCATAAGGTGCAACAATTCGTAGGGGTTTTTTTGAGAATCTGGAGCCATCTGTGTCCTTAAGTTTGTTTGCTTTTGCTGAAATCTCTTCAAGCAGCTAGTGTGACCATAAAAACAGCAGCCATCTATCAAGCTGAGCATTAATGTATTGATGATACATTCTTTAGTGTAGTGTTGTCTCCTTTACCTAGACTCCTATAGCAGCTGAACACGTGGACAAAGCTTCAAAGGAGACACAACAGAACACACAGTACAGTCAGCAGCTGGACAAAACTCTCAGCCAGTACGAAATGAACACAGATAATCAGTTTACAATGACCCCATTCCTCTCTGGTCAGGTCTGGTAAGAAAAGCCCATGCAACGTGGGATACATTTATACTGATGACTGCTGACAGACTGCATAGATCTCAGTCCACTTCCCAAAGGAGGTAACTGCTGCTTCCATGCAAGGCACAAGACTAAGAGCTGATAAACAGCGAGTCTAAAACTAGGCAATGTAGATAGTTTTCCTCTCATGAGGAATCTTATGATTCCTCAGCAGTACAGGAATCATAAGAATTTTTAACAGGTACCAATAACCTCCAAATTATGTTGTCATATCTTGTATTTACAATAGGGTTTGCCATGCAGGACTCCCTAGGGAAGCACAGGGCAGGCTAGAGCCTTCTGCAATTTCTCTTTCATTGCAGTGCTTAAACAGACATCATGCAAACAGGACACATAACAAAACACACCTATGTTATGATTACGCCCCTAACAAGAAAATTAGCTTTTAAGGAGATATGTTCACATGGACCTGAGCAGTGGGGATCAAGAAGGAAGAGACATAGGCTGTATCTGAGCAAAACCACAGCATTTTTTCATTTCTCAAATACAGCTGCCTAAGTGCCATTTTCTCAGAGGTCTCCTTGGGGGAAATATGCTTTCATTAGAATGAACATTTTAGTAGCTGCTTACTTGCAGCATCATTTTATCATTATGTCCCCATAAAGGCAACCAACATTTGTACATCACTGCCTGCAGGTTCACTTGCTCTTCTTCACAGAGAATTAAATGCAGCCATAAAATACGTACCTGCATGGGGGATACAGCAGCAGCTGGGGGCGTCTTCATGGGACTCGGGCTCAGAGGAGTGCGAGGAATTGTGGCAGCAGCAGGACTTGGAACTGGAAGAAACACAGCCATCAGGAAGCAATGCCCCATTTTCAATGAACAAGCAGACTGGCTGCATGTAGCAAACTCTCCATTTGTGTTTTACTCCCCTAATTTTACAAGATCGCATCTTTAAAAACTGCAGGTAGAGACAGCCTGCAAAACCATTTAGAAGTATGCCATCACAGTCACTCCTCCACAGTTACTTTCATTTTCTGTACTGAATATCTCAGTCACAGTAAAAACATTTCTAAGTTTACTAAGAGGTGTACAAAGCTAAGCTATAGGATGCTGTTAAGCTGGCAGATGAGAGCATAACTAGTTCTCTGATCTCCAGATAACTGAAGACATGGCAGCAGGCTTCTGGGTCTGCCAATAAGACAACCCCTGTATCTGCTTTCCAGCTTTCAGTTCAAGTCCCATAGCTAACGCAGACCTACTGTTGTGTAACACGCTTTCTGAAATTTTGAATTAAACAAATACCAGGTTTAGGAACACATGAGAACAGAAATACTGAGCTGGCGAGTTACTCATCTAATTCCATAACACCATGATTAGGCATAAATGCTGAAGAAGATAGATACCAGCTTAAAATAAAAGGTGAAAAAAGGTAGAAAGGCTTTGCTGTTTTACCAGACTAATTTTGTCAAAAGAGAACTTTCTTGAAGAACAGATTAAAAACCTTTTAAGTTAACTCAATGAAAATTTAAAAATGTAAATATATATGAAAAATGAGAACACAAACTGAAATTGAACCATTTACAGAATCGTCAAGTAATACAGAGGAGCTTTTATAATAAATATTCAGGCAATAGGTATGGAGAAATAGAACTGTTGTGCACAGAACACTTATTGCAATATTGATAATATAATCTACTTTTAGCCAAGCCTTTCTGCATTAAAAACTTAGTGACACTATCAAAAATGACACTCAAGGCCAAAAGGCTCGAGGCATGTAAAATATTTCCATTACCACTTCAAATGTCATCACACCTAAAATCCATCTCCTATTTTAGGGTAATTACTCAGATTTCTTATTCTGCTTATCCTTAACAGAGAACAACAATGGCTGTTTTCACAACCAGAAAATTACAGTCTATTGTCTCAACAGTGAAACCCCTCTCATTTCAAAAGATATCCTTTATTTATTTCATGGTGAAATAACTGGCTGGAGGTTGTTTTTAACTTTTATTAGCACCGACTACAAGAACATGAGTTACAAAATGAAACAAACTCAGTTCTGGCTATTGCATGCATTTAAGTATGCTTAATTCAGCACGTAAGTTCGCAGCTTAACAGAAAGGCTGAAGTCAGCTGTGCTTCCAGCTACAATTATGTTGTGTGAGTTTCCATACTTCCAATACGAGGCAGCACAGAATCAAAGTGTGTAACATACGAACCACTGGCAATTTGACAGAGAAGGAAAACTAAGGATAAAAAACGATGCTTGCCCTTAGCCACTGGGAATAACCTGTCGTGCAACCTAATGTAGGTTGATTTGTTTCAGCTATCGCTTACGAATCACGACGGCACAATAAAACAACTCATCCGTGAACTAGCTAAGCCATTAGAAGTATTCATGTCCACACATCCAAAATCAAAACTTGGCACTGGCTGCACATAGTTACCTTGGGAGGCACTGTCAAAGGACTTGATGAGTGTTTTGACAGTCGGAGTTGGCTCTGAGGAGGTGGACGATCTGCGGCTCAGGCCCATTCCCTGTCTCAGAGCTGCCAAATCTCTCTCTACAGCATTCATGTAATTGTACACTCGCCCGCGTTCTTCTTCCTGCCTGAAATCAATATGCAGCCTGTTTAAGGCATTTAAAGCCACCTTAACATACAAAGTGTTAAAACAGGAACATAAATTTGAAGTCAAACTAAAATCTGTAGAGAAAAGAATTAGCCATTAACCCAGTTTCCTTTCCACTGTGATTTGGGAACAGATTATCATCCTACATTATCAATTTAAATCAACAAGAGAGCTTAAGCACCAGACAAAAAGTCTATCAAATCAATACTCCATGTAAGGCTTAATTTCTGTTGATTTCTGTTCCTTTCACATACACAAATCCACACACATGCATGTATGTATTGAAAATTTAAGGCTCAAAAATTCCACCATTTCACATGAAAATAATCAGCTCAGAAATAATTATGAGTGGAAAGAAAACAGGACAAGATATATGCAAAACAAGGGTTCTTCTCATATAAAACAACATCTGTATTTATCATAGCAAAAGCCCTGGCTACTAAGGAGAAGTACTCATGATGCACAGAAAAGTTGACACTGCTTATTTTCCATACTGAGGGTAGATAAACCAAGTCCAGACATTAACTGGGAAAAAGCCTCTATGAGAAACAGGTTTATACCAAAGTGCCAAACTAAATATTCTTGGAGGAGGAGCATATAAAGGAGAAATAACTTTTTCATTTCCATTTACCTACATTACTCCTCAAAGCCTGCATAAGGCAAGTAGTTTACAGCGAAAGGAAGAATTTACAGTTTCCAGAGTCTCAATAACACATGCTGGATTTTCAAAATCAGATCTCCCCCCCCACAAAACAGACAAAATTCCCATTATCTCTTGCATACTTGCGTGACTTGATTTCCTCCAACTCTTTAGTGAGCTTCTCATTTTTCTCCTGAGCTTCGTGTAATCTTCGCTTTAGGTCTCCTATCTCTTCCTGGGCCTCAGACTTTATATCATTTGCTATAACCACCGCAGTCTGGAGATCAGCTTGGAACTGACGCCATTCTGCTGACTCCTCCTATAAGCAAATAAAACGTTAAACTGAAAGCAGCAGCAAGAATTTTGATGTTAAAAAAAAAAAAGTTATGCATATTATTCATATTTTCCCCATGTTACTACAACAAACAATTTTCAGGAGTGATTAAGGCACTCACCACTGGTGCTGTGCATAACCTAACTCACATTCCACAAGTTTTGCTAGAAACAACCTCGAAGGTCAAAAATTTCTGCCCTAGAAATTGAGAGAATGTTCATAGTATTGCAAATGTACATATTGAACATACATCAGCAGACACAGGAACATATTCACCCAAGTCACCACATTTCTGGAACGCTAAGAGTTTTTCAGAATTAATCTTCAGTCTCTGTAAATTAGTAAATATATTTCCCTGTGATGCCCTGCTCTCACCAGTTCCTTTAATGACATTACATTTAATCATATTACTTTTTCCATGATTTATTGTGCTTTTCGTTTTTCAACTTACCCGGAGTCTCCTGTGAAGATTCTTGATCTCTCTTTCCATGTCATGCTTTTGGTCCTGAAGTTTTTTAACAGTATCTGGAAAGAAAATGAAATTCCCTGTAACATCGTAGTCAGGGCTCTATTTACTTAAGAAACAGTAACTGTAACAACCTACAAATGTTTTTTAAAACTTAGTCAGAGAACACTTTTGTATAATCAAAGCCATCCGGAGAAAAATAGTATTATTAGAAGTAATTTGACAGAAAAACTCTGCTCTGTGACTGGTGGGGGAACAGCAAAAATGAACAATTCCTGTCACAACATTAAGATGACAAAGCAGTAACAAAGAACAAATAAAAACAGTATGTACTATTTTTATTTGGTAGGTGGGCAAATTAACATGGAAAGATCCTAACATGGGTACGTTCAACTGTAAGCTGCAGCTACACTAAGCCTCCTGATCAATTTCCTCCTTTGCCACAGCGCAGCTGACAGAATGCCGCTGTGCCTTCAGTGGGGACAAACTTCCACTTGGGTCCACAAGAATTGTACATTCTTGTCTATCAAGCTCTATTTGGAGTAGAAACAAGCTACGTTTACAGCGAAGGGACAAACAGTCAATGCAATTGTGTTATGAAGGAGATGGTTCCTCGATTCTGTCAGCAGCTGTACAAAAGGGGACGCAGGGTGATCAGCACCAGCTCCTAACGCGGCGTCTGACAGGCTGGCTACAGCAATTACTATTCATTTGGTTCTTTATTCAATACACAGGGACAGTGTGATTGATTACTCCATTCTTATAACTAAGCAACTAATGAAGAAGAACGCAGCACAAGCCTCTCATTAGCGTGTCCCTTCACTGATCCTGGACTGGAAGATGTTTCATTTCTATAGCATCGTGTATTTCCAAAAGGTAAAACTGATAGGCCAACTGATTAACTGTGTTTTAGTTGAGGTTCACTGCTCTGAGTTTTGCTGGAAAGAAACACTGTCACTATGTACGGCAACAACCTTTTCACAAAGACTGAAGGTGCATAATACACACATTCATGCAGATAAATTGATACCATAAGGTTTTGGAGGTCTCATTTCCCAGGATGAAACACTCTCCAGGATTCTGACTTGGTTATTAGGGCTCAGGAAAAACACTGAATCCATGCTTTGCTTCAAGTCAATGTTCTACTACCACCTTCTCCGCAAGCAAGCCTATCACTTCAGTACTCCTTGTCTTCTGCCAAATTGCTCTCCCTAACAATAAAGATGAAGCTGTGGCAGACTAAGTGGAACACAGTTAGCATTTCAAAATGTTTAAATCAAATGGAACAATGACTAAGTACACATTTAAGCCCATTTATGTTGATATGTACGTTCAAAAGCCTCAGCTAAGCTCACAGGAACATCACAATTTTTCAGCCATGGAATTCTTTCTAGTTTCTTCATCAGAAGAAATTCTTCAGTGCTGTCTCAACAGCCCCAATTCAAAGGCTTTAAAAGCCACAGCTGATTTCTGTACAAGGATGACATAATCCTCAGTTGGTCTGAAACCATGATAACCTCTCAGGCTTGCAAGAGTTGGAACAGTAAAATTAGACAGATACTTCTGTATGAATCTCATTCTTACAAGACTACACAATTTAAGATGCATCCAACTGATCTTCAAGCTTTGAAGACAACATGCTGCTGTGACACTCAAGAAAAGTCCTCCTATTTTTAGCTTGTCTGCATATAAAACTTGGTTGAGATAAAGTCAACACTGAAATGGCAGCTTCAAGTGAAAATTACACAAGTTGCTCCCACTCCACACTGTTTTTTTTTTTTCCTATAAAAATATGCTAAAAACCACCAGCAGCTAAAAAACAACAGCAGAACACCAACACAACACTGCAAATTAGGTACCTTTCAGCTGCGATGGCAAGCATAAGGAGCTTTCAGTAGCACTTTGAAATGCAATCGAGTGGATGGTGGCCCTTTTAACAAGAGGTTCAAAGAATGTTTTTTAAAATAAAATTTGTTCTACTGCTGAAAGCAAGCTGCAGTTCATCTAAAAATAACCACAAACCAGAAACTATAAATGCATCCAGAGCTAAGGTTGTACAATGGCATTGTTTTGGGCTTCTGTGAGATATGAAACGCACCATTAAGTTTTAGTATATTTATGCTTTGAAGTAAAACACAATGGTCTGCAGTTACCATAAACAACAGAGAGCATTTCACAGCAGTTGCTGGAAACAGTTACCTCTGCACAAACCTCAAATCTGTCAAAGAGATTCAGAAAAACAGAACGGAAAGGAACTTGAAACTTAGCGAGACTGAGATAAGGGATTTCCCCTCTTACAGCTCAACTCCACTCTTCACATTGTGCCACCAACTGCAGGCCACAAAGCCAAGCAGTAACAACAGGCAGGGAGCAGCAGCTTCTGTGCAGCTGCTCTGTGGTACCTTTCCTCACTGCATCCTCGCTGCCTCCCCAGTCTTCTCTAAAATGCACAACTAATTAAAAACTAATGCTCAATTTATTTTTCCAACATTATGTAGAAAAGGATGAAACATCATTTGAAAAGTGAGCTTGATAACTGCTGTCAAGGTCCTTTTGAAAAGGAGATAATATTAAAAAGCAATTCTGACAGCCCTATAGTAGAAGCACTCATTCACTCCTTGTTCACCTACTCTCGTCCAAAATATGTACTGACAGAAATACTGATGGATGAAGAGAATTGAAATGTTGAACACTCACACCTTGCAGTAAATGAACGTACAACAAACATTTTCAGGCATCAGAACATCTGACAACCAACAAGCTAACCTACAAACATTAGTTTTCTGCAAATCACAATACAAAATCCTCCATACCAATTCATCTGTTCACTGCTGGGAAGAACAGAAGATTTATTTTTTCCCTCCCTTAGCAAAGATGATGACTGTGCCAGCTTGGCGACCTGACTACCGAAGTCTGTCTGAAGTGGCACACGAAAAGCAGAGCACAAACGCCACCTAGTGCAAGGCTGTGCTGCAGCCCTCCTGCTCAGCAACACCTCTGTGTCAATGCTCAGCCCCTCACAGGCTGCTTCATCTTGCTGTGCCTAGTGATAACATGGAAGTTATGGGGTATTTCAGTATTTCTTTTCCAGATTCAGTCCGGAATCACTACGGCTAAGATTCCTTATCCCACTAGTGGCATGTTCAGGTAGCACTGATTGCAGGCCCTGCCACACCTGGGCTGACTGCAAGGGCGGACTGCATGCTTTTAATGTCATTGACATGACACTGGAATTCCACTGTCCTTATCTAAGAGATCACTGTTTCTTTTCAGGCACTCATTTTCATATAATAACAGCTAAAATGTGGTAACTTAATATTCCAATAGCTGTGAAACATGTTTCATTGTATGATCCTTGAACTATTTCCTAGAATTAGGGAAGCCTGCAGCAATGAAGCAAGTCCCCAAGCAGTCAGGCCAGAGCATCACATGATCCTACGTGACTCTTTAGTGCAGTGGCTCATCAACACTGACTGCAAACTCATCAGCTCATAAATGAAGCATCTTCCTCCTAATTGTAAAGTTTCTCCTCTGTAATTTCATTAAGAGATAATTTTCTGCCATTTAACACCTGCCATTTCTCTGTCATCTCACCACCGCTCTCAATTAGCTAGCAAGTTCGTCATTACACAAGCTCTCACATTCTCTTAAATTCTCCCATATTTGACACTGGATAAACGAGAGATTGCCATAGTTTAAAAGCTTAGAAAAAAAAAATCTTATATTGCTCTTATTGCATTTAGTTACTTAGGCTAAAAAACCACCATTCCCCTGACTAGTGCTCACATAAACCTGCAACACATCTCCATGTTTAAAAGCACAGTATTTGTCTGGTAGAAAACCAGACCTGACCACAAGTCTGATCAACATAAGAGAACTTAGTAAGTAAGATGTATGTTTCTGTGAGTTCAATACAAGTTATTAAAATGTTGTGTTACACGCTGTATGCAGTCCCACAATTCCTCCTGTGCAATCCCTCCTTACGGTCGCTAGATGCCACTCTCCAGATGCTCGTTTCCTCCAGAAGTAACCACAGCAAACAGCCCAGCTGACTTTTCAGAACTGTTTCTGCAGAGATGAGTAACAGACTACAGCAATTTTTGTTGGAAATCTCAGCACCAATAGATTTTTTTTTCCACCAGCATGTTTACCAGTTCAACTGTTACAGCAGGAACACTCTTACATAATGTCTGTCGAAACGACACACCCTATTCCCAAGGCAAAAGCATCTAAAACTTAGAGCTGCCTTGTAATTAGGTATTACTAAATAAACACCTAAACAGTTATTTGACTGCATGAATGGATTTCAGTTAAGACAAAGAAAAAAAATGCAAGTGGAGAAGCGTTCATCTTTCGCAGTGTTTGGTATAAAATGACTTCAGGAACAACATCAGAGCTGCTGCCCACACACCTGACCTCCCATTCCTGAATATGTTCCTTTGGTTTGAGCACAGAAAGAGGAGGAAAAAGAATAAAAAGCTAAGCCAACTTTGCAAAGTGAAACAGGAATTGTCTTGCAAGATAAGGGAACACTGCTTGGGGAAACTAAGCTGACACCCACATCTGAAAATACTGCTCTTCAACTGAATGAACAGTTTTGATTACTTAAACCACCATCTTTCCTTGATAGCAGACCGATTTAAAATACTTGCTACAAACATTTTACTTACAGTGAAAAGGAATAATACTTTGACTTTTCATTATCTGATTTAGAATAGCAGACATTTGAATTCCCTAAGTAGCACAGTGCAAATAACAGCTTTCAGAAGGTACGGCTGCCCAAGCTCTTGTTCAGATGGAGACTAATTGCAGAATTCCAGCCTGTGGTAGGAATGTCTGAGCAGGTCTCAGAGATCAGAGAGGGAACGTAGGCACAGACAGATAGGTGAGTGTACAGTAAATATGAATTTCATACAGGCTCCAACCATTTCTTGTACAGTGAGTCAACAGAGGGAAGAGATCATCAGTTATTCACATTCTCAAGCTATCAGCTAAATCCTGGGATTTAGGCACTTGAAAAAGAGAGCTTATTTAAAAAATAAAAATAACAAAATCAATTATCCAGTTTCCAAAATGCACACTATTATTAACTCTGTAACTACATGTTTTCCTACTTAAAAAAAACAAAACAAAACTTGAAAACAGCATTATCAGATTTCAGATTTATTCTCAATTCACAGGTTTTGGTTCACCAACTGACACTGAGACTGGAAAACAAAATCTGGCTTTTTTTTCCCCTTAGCATTTTAAGGGTGACTTGAACTCAGACAAATGAGAGACAAATGAGAATATTTTCACTGTTTCAGCGTTCTGCTTCATAAGTTCTTAAATTATCATTACCCTTTCTAGCAACACATAACACTTACTCTCCAAATCAGATATGATGAGATTGTCATGAAGCTTCACAGCCCGATGCTGCTCTACTTCATCCTCCAACTCGAAGATGGTTTCCTTCATGTCACTTCTCTCAGTTTCTTTCTCATCGAGCTCTGCCCGAAGTTTTTCTAGAGTCACATTAAGATCCTCTATTTGTTTCTTGGCTTCTTCTTGGAATACTCTGTATTCATCTTCAACCTGAAAAAGAAACACCACATGTCATAACCAAACTGAATTCCTTTAAAGATACACTTCTAGTTTTCTAGCTAGCATACCTACAATGTATTTTTGGAACCATAGGAAAGGACATTGGCCAAGAAGTTAAACACAAGCCTTTAAAACTGTACGTGCAACTATTTTTCTGTGCCAGAGTCAAGCTCTTTTCTCCCAGGCTGAACAAATGAGCTTCCCTCAGCTACTCCAGCAGCAGAATCCTGTACTCAGGGAAAGCAGTAAGAACCACAGTACTGAGGTTTCAAGAGCAGCTGATGCAACTTAGCATCTAGCTGCTTTGGAAGTGGGGGAAAACTCTTCATCCTTTCTTTATCCTGCCAAGAGAAGTCAGTTCTCTTTTGTGCATCGATATCAGTGCTTGCTGATTCCTTAACCTATACCAAGATTCATATTTGTGCATGTGATGTGTCACTGATTTGAAGCAGTTGCCAGAAAAGTCTTAGAAGCTACTGATCTGCTTAATTGAAAAAAAACCCCCGACAGGGAAAGGAAAAGGCAGCAGACCTCTTTTCAGGAACAGCAAGACCATTTTATTCAGCCTTATGAAGCTGCAGCTTAAATAACAAGCTGAGATCAGAGGCTCTTTAACATTCACTCCCATGCCCAACAGCAAAAAACAAGGTCATGGCTTAGGGCGGGTCAGCACAGGCACCAATTTTAATCCACAAAATGCCCTGCTTTAAATTACCTGCTTCAGTATTTATTTATTTATCTTAATAGCACTACTCAACCTTAATTATTAAAATTTTATTTTAATTTTTTTTAAATCTCTAATTAAGATTAATTCTAACTGGCTATTGATCTGCAGTTAGCATATAGCTCAGACAACATATCTGACAAACTTTCTTATCAGGAAGACTTATCTTCAAATGGATAATGGCTAGGACATTTTTACTAGATAAATCAGTTTCATTTAAGTCACAGTAGGTGTTCTAGAACTACAACGTTTGGATCCAAAACACAATTAACACATAAGGTGCTCCTGGATGGATCATTAGAAAAAACCTTCATGTATTTGCCATATTTAATGATTTTTTTTAAAAGCTTAAGTGTTCTTTTTTTCACTCAAAACTAAAACATTTAGATAGCAAATTAAATTACATGGAATAACCTCCCCTACGAGGACAGGCTGAGAGAGCAGGGGCTGCTCAGCCTCGAGAAGGAAAGGCTCCTGGGGGACCTGACAGCAGGTTTGCAGATGTTTTCAGTATCTGTCAGAGGCAGTAAGAAGGAAGGGGACAACCTCTTCAGCAGGGACTGCTGTGACAGGACAAGGAAAGATGGTTTCAGACTAAACAAGGGGAGATTTAGACTGGATATAAGGAAGAAGTTTTTTACAATATGGGTGGTGAGACACTGGCACAGGATACCCAGAGGAAGCAGAAGCTCCATTCTTGAAGATACTCAAGGTCAGGCTGGATTGGGCTCTGAGCACCTGACTAAGCTGCAGAAGTCCCTGTTCACTGCAGGGAATTTGGACTAGATGACCTTATGGGTCCCTTCCAACTCAAATGCCTTACCTATAATTCTGTGATTCTATGACATACTTCTTTACAAAAGCCTGCAGCACTTTCATAACAGAACTGAAGAAAGCCATTAATCCTAACTTTACCACAATCCAATCAGCCTCATAATTAATCCTTTATTTCTGAAAGAACTGCAATGACCAACAATAAATGTCTTGATATAGAAGTGATGTTAAAAACACAGCGAATGCAAACACTACCTTAGCAATGGCATCTTGCAATCGATTGGCATCATTGCGAGTGTGCGCCAGCTCCTCTTGCAGACCGCTGGCCAGTGTCTCTGCTTTTTCTTTATCCAGCCTGACACTCTCTAGCAAATCCTGTATATCTGATTTGTCTCCAGAGTTGTGTATTGAATACAACTCAGCCACCTTCTGCTTCTCGTGCTCTAACTGAGCCTTCAGCCTGTTCATCTCTATCTGGTCGCTGGCTACCGTGGCTTTGTACTCCTCTAAGGTTGATGCTATTGCTGTTTTGCTTTTCTGTTCTGACTCAATGATCCGTTCCATGTGGTGATTGCGTTCCTTCAATGCCCCTATCATTTCTTGGGCCTCCTTATTGTCTTGTTCTGCCATCTTCAAAGTGTTGCTCAAGTGCTGCTGAACACCTAACAGCTGCTCCCGCTCAAACCGGGCGTTCTCTGCAAGGTCCATGTAGCGCTGCTCCAACTCCATGTAGCGACCACTTTTCATATCTTCATCAATTACATAGGAAATATGGTGTTCATCTAAAAGAGACCGAAAATACTCTATCTGACGGCTAAAATGTTCCAACTTATCACTTTGCTGGCACAGAGATTCCATCAGGATGACTTTTTCCTCTCCCAGTCTTTCATTCTCACTGTTTAGCTCTTGCGTTATTTGCTGCAGATCTGCAAGCTCTTGAAGCGTGGCTTGGAGCTCTTCTGCTGTGCTGTGCTGGTTCTCTTCCATCTGATGTATCCGCTCTGTCAGACAAGCTACGGACACTTCGCTCGCGTTGCCACTGCTTCCTTTTCTAGATCTTTCTATACTTGGTACGCCTTCAGACTCCGAAGATGACGGAGCATCTAAAGCATCATCACTCGATGTCAGTGGCTGATACACTTCACTGCACTCGCTATCTAAATTATCCATGGAGTTACTATGCTGGTTGTCCATCAGAGTGTGTTCATCCTGACTTAGCAAGTCTTCCATTGACCCAGGAGCAGAACCTTCCACAGAAGATGTCAGAGTACCACCACCATCACTGTGGTTGCCAGCTGTAATCTCCGGACTCAAAGACTGGTAGCCAAAGAGTTTCTCAGAGTTGTCCAGCCTTTGTTCCAAAGAGAAGCCTAATGCATTTAGTCTGTCTTTTAACATTCGGTTCTCATTCTTCAGCTGGTTGAGCTCTTCTCGGATGGCAGTGTTTTGTTCCTGTAACTGTAGCAACGTAGACTCTACATCAGTTGGCTGATGGACAACAATGGCCTCTTTTTCTTCAGATTTTTCATCACCTTCAACTTGGTCTTCATTAAGTCCCAGCTGAGCACGCATGTCCCTTAGTTCATTTCTCAGATGCAAGATTTCCACATCTTTAGTTTTTGCTAGCGTCAGAAGATCATTCACCTTTGCTTCCAATGCAGCTTTGTCACTGATCTGATTGTCTGATTTGGACTTGCTCATCCGAATATCCGATTCCGGATTGGTGCGACTGCGGGAACGTTTTGCCAGGACCGCATCATTGCTGCCCTGTCCAGCCAGAGGCAGTTTCTTACTCTGGCTTAAGCGGGACCGATCGCGTATTCTCTCCCTAGAAGAGCTCGACTCTTTAGTTCCAGATGAAGTGCTACGCTTAGCTGTGGAACCTGTATGGTTTTTGAAAGTTAGGAATACTCATTTAGAATACAGCATTTGGACCGTAAGACTGCGTATTTTTTAGCCATACAATGGTTGATTTTCTGAACTATGCTGGCAAACACATCCTAGAAAATAAATCTACAGTTAATGTTTAAATAAACCTACTTATGAGGTAAAGCAGCTGTACTTTATTTGATGTGTGCTTTTCAACTGCTATACTGCTCCAGTATTTTGAACCTCAAAGCTTAGTTTAACTGTAACATTTACACATTTCTTTTTTTCTGTCTTTAAAAGCTTCTGACAAACTGTACAAATATGATAGCAGTACTTTCCTGCAAGTTCAAATTTCACTCTTTTCAGTAGATTTGAATGCAAGCATTTAAGTGATGAATTGTGTATTACGATTAATAAAATATTAGGCTACTTTCTACTCTATCTTCATCACATTTCATAAGGCACAGATGAATTATTGCTATTTTATTCCCAGATGATTTACAGCTTTGCAAGCATTACTGAATCCAAAACACAGTGAGGAAGGTATTTCCATCTGTATTGAGAGCACATTAAATAATTCCACTTCTCTAAACAGTTTATGAAAGCTCTCTTACTTCTTTACTAAAAAAAAAAACAAAACACATTGACTGCAACACGCAATCACATCTTATGTTTGTAGCTTGAATCTTCTAAAGACAAATTAAACCACAACCCTCCAGATTAACTACATGATGTAGTATTATTATATAGTACTTACATAAGCAGTACTATTAAAAGGAGCAGCCTCCAAAAAGGCAATTACAATATTACAAAATATGTAAAGAAGATCAAGGCCAAAGCACAGAAGATATTTCATTTGACCATGGTCTTACCAACCACTTCCTAAAGCAGTCTGCATCCACACTGCATGGCAGGAAAATAAAATTCTACCTTCAAGAACCAGTATATCCATCTACCTGCAACAGTTTTAGGTTTATTTTCCAGAGTGTTCATGGTTGTCCCTGTAGCTGAAGACACTGTTGGTGCACACGTGCTCTTCTTTGCCTTGACACCGTTGGTCATTGTCACTCCACCGCCACTGGCCATCCCTGCTAAGAGGTCATCGTTGCTCTTAGTCTGAAAGAAAGGTAAGATGCAGCTTACAGACAGCTGGCTGACAAGTTTGCATAGCCAATATTTCTTCTGTGAAGGATTCCATCAGTTTAACAAGCACACATTTGACCAGTCTTATGTCTGCGTAGGTATGCTGAAGAGTAACTGCACTGCAGCGTGCAGAGCAGGTGAGCTGAAACTGAACTTCAACTACTTACACACAGCTGACCATAGAAACCAAGTCCCTTCTCTCCCAAGAGAGAGGAAATAATCAACATTTCAATACCTGAAGTGGAGAAAGAAAAACAAAAAGAAGAAATCACGGGGAAGTGTAAAAAAAAGAAATTACAATGAAGTGTAATTTTTCTCAATTCTGACAGAAAGGTTCCCCAGGTATAAAAATAAACCAACAAATACTAGGAAGTCTGCCTAATGTTCTTCAAGAGAACACGATCAAGCATTTTCTGTTGGACAAATTCTCAACAAAAATGAAAGCTAACAGCAATAAAAATCAATCCAAGACAAATAAAATACCATTTCTAGCTCAAAATGCTAAGCCACAAACCACTAGAGACAGTAGCAAGAAGGGGGGAAAAAAACAGCACCCTCACCATATATCCCTGTCTTGTTTTCATGCCCCTTCCTAGGCACTCTCAGAGACAGGACATTTGTTTCATGTACTTTTTGTCTGACCTCTTAACATCATTCCTGAAGCGACTGTTAGACACAGCAGCTGCCTGGAATGTGACAACAGTAAGCACAAGGACCTCAAGAGCCAGATTCCCAAATAGAGAATCCATCTTCCAGAGTAAAGCAACATCTAAAAATACCAAGTACCCAAGTACGAATTGGCAGACAGCACCACTCTTTAAAATGCAATTTGTCAAATGGAGAAACAATCATAATAGGCTAAACATTCTTCCTATTATAAGGCCCAAAAATTAAATTTAAAAGGTTAACAGCGTTCCCTGAGTAATTGTACTATTCAATTAGATAACACATTTGAAGTCTCAACTAGCATTCCTGCTAAAAGGTCCCAGCCAGGAGCTCTGCATCAGGACTTAAAATTCTGCAGATTTGTAACCTCTCTATCACATATATATCCATGGTACAGTGTTAGCCAGACACAACATTTTATACATTGAGAACGAATTTACACATGCTTAGTTAAAACCAGTGTTCCATCTCGCTCTATTACAAAGTTTCCTTTTGCAGCTGAGAATTTGACAACAGCTAGCAACATTGATAACAGTGATTCTACGGAGTCTGACATCAGTCAGACAATTAGCTCTTGGCATTTGTACCTCGCTAAGAGAGCGGAGAAATTAGATTAAGCTTTCAAACACTTGCAGCACATGTTATCAAGCCAAATAGGTCAAGACGTGACTCAGCTTGAAGAAAGAGAACTACGTTAAATGCAGGCTTTCTGACATTAGTCACCTCCAGCCCTTTGCTGAACAAAGGAATTTCAGCCAGCCCTTCTCCCTCTGACTTAGCCATGCACTATTTCCAGGGTAGGTTGGAAGGCACTGCCTCCTCTGCAGCCAATTAGTAAACAGTTTAGAGAAACTGTAACACTACACTATTGGCAGGAAAAACTATTTAGCAAAGCTTTGGAAAAATTACAAACCAGCAGCTCTCTTCTAAATGCTCCCTAATAGCAACACTCTTGACTTGAAAAATCAAACTATTTTTACAGTATGTATTTTTATTGGAACTGAAATTAACAGTTTTCTCAAGGAAAAAGTTTCTCCCATTTACTGGAAATGTTGCATCCCTGCTTAGCAAAAAAAGCCTTTCTTTAAAAACTAAAAGATTAGAAAACCAAGTAATTGAAGTGCCAATGCAATACAATTGACATTCCATTTTCCCCCACAACTTTATTTCTTTCAGTGCAATGAAACCTGAACGATTGCCTCTATAACTCATTTCACATTAGTTTCCCAACATGCATATCCTATTTACTGCACCTCATTCAAATCCTTTTTTTTATCTATCTACATAATTATTCCTACGTGGGATTTTCTTTGATGCTCACTGTTGCTGCACTGAAGTACTTCAAATACTAAACTTCACAACAATCTGTAATTAAGTTACTGCATTTTGCAAACAGATTGCTGAAGCCCAGACACAGGAATCCTGAAGATACTTTCTGAGTTTTGATTTTCAAATGTTAGGGCCCACTCTGACTTTTCAGGGACACTGGATTTCTGCAATTCGTTTGCATCAAGTGCAGCTGCTGCCTAATTACAGCTGTGATTGTTAACAGGGCTGAAAGCTCATTGGCTAAAGAAGTCAAAAAATGCTTATCTTTAAAAAAGGAACACAATGCTGTTTGCACAAAATATTTTTTGACAGATTAGAAAGTAGAGGTGGGTGGCTGTTAGCTGTCTGTTGTAATAACGTGTGTGTGCAGGTGGGAAAGTGGTGGATGTTTACAAAAGTCCTGAGTGCAGTGGGAACCAAAATCTTATGAGAAAGGTCACCTGAAAGAGTTGGTCAGTGTCACACAGGCATCCTGCAGCAGACAGAAACAGCATCCAGCTGCACTGAAGGAGGGGTCTCCCATTTTCTTCCTGCACTCACTGTCTAAACACTTTGAACAAGACAAAACCACAGAACGATGCGTGGTTAAAGACCCCCCACCTCTCACCCAAAGCACAGCACCACCCTACAGCTGTGTCATGAAGGAGATAGAAAAAAATGTACTAGAATTAGAAAGCCATTTTCACCCGCACTACTGATTAAGCAGTGTGCCTGTGCATTTCTATTCCTTAATACCTGCCTTTCGTTCAACAACCAACCCAAAGGTTTTTGTATCTGAATGCACACTTATTTTGAGGACTGCATAACTCAGTAGGCTGCTGCAATCAAATCTCATGCCAGCCATGTTTTGTTTTCAAGGAATATTAGATGAAACTTACCAAATGCACACAAATGTACGTCTAAGAGCAGATTCTAGAAACTACTTTAAGAAAAGCAATATGCCAAAAGCTTAATTGATAAGATCAAATATAGAACCACACAAAATAAATCGCTGGCATTTCTTTCAAGTCAGAAATTATACAGGTGATTTGACAGCAACCTTAAGTCCAAAAATAAAAGCTACTAACTTTTTGTTTGAGCATCGAACACTCAGAGAAAACTAAATAAGCAAAAGTCATTAAGTCACACAGCTGGCAAAGCAGCAGCTTGACAAGGAGGAGACACCCAACTGCATGAATAAGCCTGGCTGAAACATAAAGCTGAGATAAATCACAGTAATTATAGGGAAATTTTTCATTGTACCTCAAACAGACGATTGTCAAATTCTAATCCAACACCCAAACATAGCCAGAAGTGTTACTAAAGTAAGAAGTAAAATTGTGAAAGCAGACTGGGTCAGATTTCTTCAGTGTTAGATCATCCTCCTCCTTTACCTCACTGAGAGGTATCACCTCAGAAACTTGATCAGTAAACTACAAAGGGGTTTTGTTTCTCTGTTCTTTGAGAGGTTTCTAAAAATGCAAAATGAGAAGTGTCAACAATCATCAAAAGATTATTTCAAGTTAAGAAAATGGAGCGGTGGGAGTAGAAGGGGCACAGGGGGAGAAAAATCTACGTGAAAGCCAGCTTGGCAGTTCAGTGCAAAAGTAGTAACTGTTATTCCATAACAGAGAAAAAAGAGTGAAAGACAGACTTTGGCAAATCTGCAAAGTTATTACAGAACAGCTTCAACTACTACAATTTCTTAATTCTACATCTTGCCAGCTACATATACAGCCTATCTGGCTGCCTAGGCAGCACAGATACAGGTCCCAGCTGCACACACCAGCCCTTATTCTCAGCATGCTCCTCTGCTCCAGGGCAGCTGCAGAAATGCTACAGCTCTGCACACTGGGCTGCAGACAGGCAGCAGGAGGGGAGCCCAGCCACGTCTCCACCAGCACAGGGAGGCAGAACAGGCAGACTCAGAACATCACTCCAGCCCCGACGTGATCTCAGGCCACAAATTCTGCACCAGCACAACTTGCTAAGTCCTATTTCTTGGTTGTTGAAAAGCCTATGATCCTAAATCCAGTAACGTATGAGAGAACCTCTACCTTTGAACTTGTTTTAGGAGCAAGAATCAACTTGTGCATGTTCAGCTCAAGCAATAGTTCACACAAAGGAAAGGTCAGAACAGCCAGTAGAATGCAGCTGCGCTGACCTGACACGGATCACCAATGTCAAAAAGTTTCTCATGTCAGCTACCTCATTAGTTCTTGTTTCAGAATGGTGCATAGCTCTCTTCAAATCCCATCAGTCACTGACACACCATTCAAGCATAACACGACACTACTAATAACACTCATTCCAGTGCAACTTTCACCTCACTCCTTTGCAGAACAACCAAGTTCTGCAAAGTATACTGCCTTCCATCCCACCACAAACTGCAGTGTGAAAATGCAGCACGAACACCACACAAGACCCTTCACTCTGCCCAGTGCTGTATAACCACCTCAACTCCCTTCAGTTCCCCATGTAACAAACATCTAGTTGCACTGAAAACGTGTTGTAAAATGCTTCACTTCTAAAGCTTTCTTGTCAAAAATTGAAATAATCAGAAAGTTGTAGTAGCTGTTACCTTCAAAAGGGATGCTGATGTCCCGGGTTTGGAGAGTTTTGTTACTGCAGACAGTGAGGAGCCGCTCTCCGGTTTGGTTTTTTCAGTTGTTTGAGTCTTATTTACTCCAGGCACTTTGGGCACTGAGCCAACACTCCTGCTTGCTTTCTTCATTCTGGGCTGTCTGTTTATGATGCATTTACAAACAAATCTGCAAACAGAAAGAAGTCTTCAGCACGAAATACAAACGAAACACAGCGTATTTTTGTAGCACTCTATTTAAGAGCGGAAGTCCAGAACAGCACTAAGAACCACAAACCAGAGCCAAACAGCATATATATGGAACTGACCTACAGGTTTTATGCTTTTATAAAAAGGATTTTATTTTTTTACCACGAGTTCCTACAGCTCCGCTCCAAGATTTATTTTTTCCAGTTCCCTTTCCACAAATGGCTCTGAACCAAAGATACTCTAGAAGTGACCCGTGTTACTGAGTTTGCTTGTTAGCTAGCAAAAGAAAGGCTTATTAGGGCTGCAGCGTTCTTTAGTTCTGACTGTGGGAAAGAAAATACCGTGGGAGCATGAAGGCAACAAGCTGACTCCCAACAACAGCGGATCTGAGAAAAGATTAGCTTGGTAACTGAAGTACTGAAGAGTATCAGCAGTTGCAGAGAAAATGGGCTTATATAACAAGTCAGAGAAGATGAAAAATTCTTATCCCTTGAAACCAGTTATTATTAAAAGTCATGTTAATACAGATGTGGGATTTCAAGTGTCTTGAATGTAAGGTTTCATACTGTCACATGATTATGATGACTGTCTCCAAGAAGTAACCCAGCAGCCCTGCCATGGGACGCCTGAGCACCTCCTCGCCTTCAAGCTCCCTCCAACAGCAGACAGCTGTCAGACCTGTGGCCCAGCCACGAAAAACCAAGCTGACTTTGCACAAACATGGAGCAGCTGCAGCAGACAATCGCACTGCCAATTCCAGCAGAAAGCCATAGGAAAGGCAGAAGAGCTGACAACTTGGTGCAGGGACACAAGAAGGACCAGACACGTCGTGCTCATCCTCTCTCTTGCTGAAGCAGGACAGCTGGCAGCTGCCTTCCTCATCCTGCCTGAGCCAGCAGACAGAGAATGGAGCAGGAGACAACACCCTCGCTCCCCTTTCAACCTCCCAGGCTGGATGGAGCAAGTGCTCTGCTCTACCTGAGCTCAATATCCCACAGCTAGTTAGAAACACAAAGCCCATTGAGTTCTCCCCATCTCTTCCAAAGCAAAAACCTTCAGAGGCACAAAAAGCAGTTGGTCAACCGAGTGCATGAGAAGTGCCACACACAAGCACGGGAATCAGAAGCAATGTGTTACACTACCAAAGTGACACTGAACACCAAGCACGCACTCCTCCAGCCCAACACCACTTCTGCACACAAGCAGATTCCAACTCTGACCTCCCTCAAAGTCAGTAAAACTCCCAAAGCTTTACATCTTCAGATCCCTCAGCGCCATTAATACAAAGTCTCATTTTAAGACACTGAAAATATTTGTTTATAGCTTCCAGACTCTTGAACTCTGGCACGAACAGACACACAAAACTTTGTCCACTGCTGCAGTTTCCCCCATCAGAATGTCAGCAATGCAGCAGTGCTGCCATGCTGCTACCAGGAACCAGAACGCCCGCGCAGAGCAACACATCACCGAGGGATCATCTGAAATGGGACACTCCTAAGAAAAACACAACAAAGCCCAAACCAGAAAAGCCCCCGCCAGAGAAGCCCCATGAAGGCGAAGCGCTTGCTGTACACCAACACCTCCCCAGAATGTGATGTTTAGAGGCAGGACCACGCTGCCATGCTCACGTTTCTTGCCTTTTCCATGTTTGTGAGTCAAACGCTTCCACGTGCTTTTGATCTTATTCCACTGAAAAGAAGAACCGAAAAGAACAAAGAGGACAGCGAGTGTGAAGAGAAAATGGTGCAAAGCTGGCTCCATTACAAATGATTGTAATGTCCTACTGATTACATAAAAAGTGACCCATAGCACACTGGAGAAACAATAAAACTTCTATTCTTGCAACATTCGCTTCAACAGCAGTGATTTCAATAAGTGAAAATAAAGTAAGCTGCACGAGCTTAACGTGCAACACGATGTAATTCAGGTAAGAGCTAAAATAACATTTCATCATGATTTTAAAGAGCAAACATTCCATACAAGACTGCAGTTCATAACTCACCCCAGGGACAAAGAAGTTACCAAAGCCTTCCCTTTCCTGACACACTCCTTCCTACCTCAGAAAACCCAAAGCAAAGAGCAGAGAGGAGATCAGCACAAACAGCAGAACACAGCCTGCAACCCCCCGAGCTGCTCCTGGGAGTGCCCCCAGCACAAACCAACAGAACACCGACCCACCAGCAGGGCACAAAGCATTACTGCAGCCATTTGATTAACGCCAGCATTACAGGATCAATTATAGCATTAATCAGGATGGAAAAATGCCCAAATGAGCCCCAGCTATCAGATAGAAAGACCACATTCCTGACATGCAATGCAAGCGCTGCCTCCAACCTGTATCCCCTTCCAGAGCTCTCTCTCTCAGCAGCACACATGGCACAGGACACAAAGGCAGATCCAGCCGGGATGCAGCTCTGGCAGTGTGTGGCACCAACCCGGTGCTTCATGCAGCTGCAAACACGGCACCATAAATAATAATTTGAAAGCTCCCTGCCCAATAGCACGGCGCTGCTCCTGAGGCTCCTGGGCTGATGCACCCAGCCTGGTGCTAGGCAGCGCTCACAGGGCTGCCCCTGTATGTACCTACAGCTTTTAGAGACCTGAGTGCTGGGGTGATTTCTTACCTTTCTTCATATGCTTCTTTATGCAAATCTTGCTGTCACAGAGGTAAGAGGAACAGAAAGCACTTTCCTGAGCCTGTAAGGCAAGAGGGCATCCAGCAGCAAACAAGGCACCAGCTGCCTGCTGCTTGCTGAAGATATCTCATCGAGGAGTACGTTGTTTCACCTATTAACGTTTTCCAATAAAATGTGGTAAATAGTATCAGAATGCCTCTCAAGAGTTACTTAAAAGAGATGTGATCCCTCACATCTGAGGACACAGCCTTTTTGGAAGCGCTGATGAACAAAGCAGATGTCCAGAACGCAGAAGGAAATGGCTATCTTCAAACCGAGCCCTGCACTCGGTACGCTCACTCTCTGTGTACAAATTCCTTGGATTTGATGTATGCAGGCTGATGACTTCTGCCCAAACAAGCAGGGAACGACATTTTTAGGCCACAAAGACAGTCTCAAAAGGCGGAAAAGCAGAGGAAAGATTATGCAATACAACCCCTCCAGCCTCCTGTAAAAGGCGCATCAGAATGTCTTCAAGTCTCTGCAGGCAAGAGAGCATAACTACCACCAACTCCACGTCTGGAACATGAAATAAGCTACCAGGGCAGAGACACATAGCATGCACTGCTCACACCCCCAGCCCACAAAGCTGCACAGCACAGCAGTCAGATGGAGGCATGTTCTGAACAGATCAACACTGCTCAGCGTGACTTCAGTGCTTTGATTCGCAGCATTTGGGAGAAGTCAAAAAAGTAAAAGCAATTCCAGGAATTACTGAGAAAGCAACACAAAACCATAAAGCAAACGCGGAGCTCAGCAAATCCATCTCTCCTGCCCACCCACACATCAGCTGGTACGTGCTGTTCCCCAGCCCCAACCTAAGGGCTGCATTTGGACTCAAAGGAGCCCCAGCGAGGGGCAAACATGAGATCAAAGGCACTTCACAGCTTCTACAGGACATCTCCTGGGGAAGGTGATGAACAGCCCATGGGAGCCCAAATGGCACAGAGTGGGCAGAGCGGGGCTGCCTGCAAACCACCACCGCTGCACTGAAAGGCCGACAGCCAAAGCCAAGTTCCAGTGAGACAAATGAGCAGTGCTGTTAAGGCAGTACTGATATTGCTATTTTTCTTTTGAAACCCAAAGGAAGAAAGAAGAGAGCTGTGGGTGAGAAGAGGCCGTTGTGCACCTCCATTCCTCTGCTCCTTGTTTGGAGAAAACTGCAGAGCTGTAAGTGCTGTGAGCAACGTGCACCCGTTGCAATGCTTCGCATTCCAGACAAGTGACAAGAGCAGCTCAGAGCTCCTAACTAACAGGCCGTGCTCTAAAAAAGCCTTTTCATAACAAAATTAAATAACGCCTTGTTTCCAAGCTCCTACCTTAAACAGACGTTATTTCAAACCACTGCTGAGGACAGAAGAAAACAAGCATCCATCAGACGGGCTCCGCTGCCCCTCCCAGCGCAGACTGTGAGCAGCACCTGGGGAAGCTCTTCTGGCAGCTCTGCCGAGCAGAACAACGGCCCCAGGGACAGTGACCCCAGCAGCCCCTGGGCAGCTGCGCCAGTGCATCACTGCTCTCTCAGAGAAGAAACTGTTGCCAAAATCCTACCCGAACCCGTCCTGTGCACCATGACAGCGTCACTTCTCATCCTATTGCTGTTCCCCAGGAGCAGAGGCTGATCCCCACCTCACCACCACCTCCTTTCAGGGTATTATAGAGAGCGATGTGGTCACCCCTCAGCCTTCTCTCCTCCATTCCACACCTCGTAGTAAAATTCACACTTGCATCCAAACTTTAAACTACACACATACAGATACAGTACAGACCTATTTCCTGGACTGTCATTACAACTCTCTGACAGACTTAAAAGGTTTAAGCAGACTTGGCATAAGTATCCACCTTCTCTACAAAGCTCTCAGGTTAGCACTGCATTAGAACAGAAGCACTGTTTTAGCACTGCAGGCTTTCTTGGTTAAAAACATAAGCAAAATTATTACACCACACATTTTCTGGGCAGAGGACTGGCTGCCTTAAACTGCAAGTGATAGGTGGTAGGTAACCCTGTGATCCCATCGTCACCTACCAGCTATTTCAGGGAGCTCCGAAATAACTGTTATTGCACAAGCCAATCACCCTCCAGCTACAAAGGTGTATTTAGAATCACGTAACCTTAAGCACATACTCTATTATTTAACCCACACTTAGGTTGCCCTGTGGAGATTCTCCTTCTGCAGCCAAGGAAGCACTTGCACAAAGAGCAACAAGCTATCTGAAGAGCAGGGAACTTGGCACGACAGCTTCCTTCCCTTTCAGCTCAGCAATAACACCTCATGGCACTCCTATACCCAGGACAGAGTGCAACAGTGGCCTTTCCCCTGTCTCCACTCACCTCTGCCAGCTGAACTCTGCTACCAGCAGCTGCACTAAGCCTGTAGCAGGATGAGACCAACAGGGAGAGGAATGAGGTCGGTATGCTGGCTACCATTAGAAGAAGGGGAACAGAGAACACTAATAGACAAGCATTGTGCTGCCTGAGGAGCCAGAGCAGTGCTTTCCAGCACAAGTATGTACAGGCCAAACCTGAAAGTGAATAAATTCGCCCCAATCAAACATTCATCCAAAATACTCTATCGGATCATTGATTTGTGCAAAATCCCCAACGCCTGCTTCCTGTTTGCAGCTCGGTCCCAGTTATCAATCTGTTCTTATCAGATGCTGATTCACGCATCCTCAACTTGAAGACTAATGCTGCCTGCACTGCTGCTGCTGAGAGACAGCAGGGTGCTCATCATGCCCATTCCATCGCTGACCTGGCCCGGCAGCATTCCTGAAGGGCCGCACCACCACCTGAAGCCATCCCAGCCCCAGGGCTCACACCTGGATTTCCAGCAGGGGATGTCCGGGTTCTGGTCACAGCTGGGCCGAGAAAACCCAATGGGTGTGAATAGCCCATCTGTAAACCAGTCCTGCTGGGGCTGGGGGAGGGAAATGCCTTCTGGGGATTGCTTAAGCCGGTTGTGAAAATCATTTAATTGTACCCTGCCACCAAAAGAGACAGTCCCACCCCTTCCTCTGTCCTCTCCCTCGTTTCAGTTCTAGAGATCGTAGCTCGTTTTCTGATGAGTTAGTTTTTTTCCATCAGATCAGGGCTGATCTGACTCACCTTATAATTACCAGGCATTACGCAGAGCAGCAGGCCACGGAACTGGGAATGAGAGGAAGGCTCCCCCCGTGGGGCACTGCTCCACACCAGCCTGAGCTCAGAGCGAGACCACACGGCACAGCTGCCACCCTGCTGGGAGTAGCCCCATGCTGCTGCCCCACCACCACTCTGTGGGGCCACATCAACTGGATGAGGAAACCCATGAGCTCTGCGAGCAATCCGAAGACAGAACACAGAGGCTGCTAGCAGGGCTGAAGGTCAGCTCTGTCTGGCTATGAGCCCTGTGCTCTGAGCCACCTTCTCCTTGTCTCTGAAACCTGACAACTGCACACTCACGACTTGGTTTTAAAACCTTCAGGCTTAGCAGACAGAGATGAGACAGAACTGCACGCAAATCCTTCCTAAACACCACGCTAGCACCAGGGACATTCACCTGCCTGAATGTGAGCCTGCAGATATGCATTTGAGTCACACGGAGTTGCTGGGGATACTATGGAGCCTCTCATGGCTAACTGGAGAGAGCCAAGCTGTAACAGATCGCTCCTCCAGCTGTGTCCCTGTCAGCCCCAGGGCTGCAGCACCTCACAGGGAATGCACTGCTGCAGGAGAACCCAGCACAGTCTCACACTGCAAATCATTCCAGAGCTGAATGTTCAGGAAGGCTCTGTCTGCCAGAACTACTGCGAGTGCTTTTAATTAAGAACACGCACACAGCAACGTGTTAAGAAGAACACAAAGTTTGAGGGAGAACTGGAAGGAAGGCACATTCCTGGTCAAGCTGTCCACATCCCAAATACACATCCCATCGGGCCATGCACTGCATGTGTGCAAAGAAGCACCCCATGTGGGCTAAATGGCCAAAATGAAGACAAATCATAGCATTACTTTCAGGCTGATGTCATCAAATACATCACCCGAGTACTTCAGTACTACCTTTATTCACCTTTTTTTTTTTTTTCCTCCTTTAAGAGGTCTCTTTTCACCTACCTTCACCATTTACTTGTGATTTCCTCTTTTTGTTACTCCCAGTTCTGCCATGTATTTGTCTGTTCTTTGCAAAATTATCAGGAGCCGTTTACTTACAATAATGAAGATCAAAAGTCCCAGCGCCCTTACAGAAGCTTTCGTTCCCGAAGAAAACCATGCATGTCCATGAGCATGTGAACAATGAATTATTTATCTGAAGAGGGACAGGATCCTATGATCACTCTCCGGCTGCACTAAGCTGCTAAGTGTTCCAGAGGCTGGGTTGCTCTGATCGTTTCAGCTGGAGTAAGCTCAAAAGAAACAAGAAGTGCACTCCCTGTGAGTCGTCACTTCAGGCCACATCCAAGCTTATAACTGAGCCTCTAAGGCCTGCTTATTTTCCCTTTTTCAGTAAGAGGACTAAAAATAAGATCAAATGGGGTGATTTCTGAAGTCAGGAAGTACAAGCATAACATTTGTGATGCTGCTTTTCCCACTGCGCCATGGAGATTCGGTCACGCTAACAGCATTACAAGTTCCTAGAACTGGATCCTGGTCGGCAAGACAGGCTCTAACATTACAAGATCAAGGAGAAAGAACAAAAAAAGGAACTTCTGAAGTATGTCTGTGAAAGATCCCTTTAGAAATTCCCAACGCTCGCTCCGTCTCTTCTTTTGTACTGGAACAAAAACAGCATAAACTCACTTCCCTACACCGTGCTACCTGGAAGCATGCATTTATTCACACCTCGTTTATGCTACCTCATCTATTACTCAGTGCAATGAAAGTTATAACAGCCTAGAGATCATTGTTCACTGAGGACAGAAGTGCTGGTGCCAGCACTGCACTGAGGATGTGCAGCAGGCAGCCAGCCCAGCCTAATGCCCCAGGTTTCTTGGAGGGACTCCTAGGGACAGGCCCAGTGTGCCTAAATGCCACAGGACTCTACTGCCTTCAGGTAGAAGGGAAGGTGAAACTTCACCCAGCTTCAATACACCAGAAGCACAGTCCTGGAGATCCGGAGGTGCCGCTGTGACGTTCTGCCACTGTCACACTGTAATAAAGCAGTGCTTCATAGAGCTAAAGTCAATAAAACCACAGATTACTATCAACATCCACGACAAAAGTCCCATCAACGAGCTGCTCCAAGCAGACAAAAGGACTAGGAAATATGGGCTGTGGGGTTTAATTACACAGCACTGTATTTGACAGAAATAGGAGAATGAAATAAAAACATCTCAGATGCTTTGTTCTCCACAGCCACGTCCTGTATTGAGTAAAGAAATCAGACATGGGGTTTCAGCAACAAGAAAACAACTGAAAAAAAAAATGCAGATTCTTTCTTTCCTTACTCCACACAGCCCAGGGGCCTAGGAGCTGACTTTTCCATCAGCTGAAAACGTAGTGATACCATCACACAACGTACTCCCATCTCACTTTTTCAGATCATTATGCAAGACTATCTGTTCTCAGCCCTGGAACCACTCAGGCCACATCACTCGGTGTGATACCTGCCCTGTTCCCCAGCACCTGTGGGGTCAGCGACCCCAGCACCCCATGGGCAGGCTGTGTCAGAGCCTGACTTTTCTTGTGGAGAAGAAAACCATTCTTTGCATTTTTGTTAGCTACCACCTAACAGCAACCTGGAGGAGGCATTATGTACTGCTGAGCTCCTGCAGGGCTCACAGAGCGTTCCTGCCTCAGTTCCACCTCAGGCAGCCGAAGTCCACGCCGAGCAGGGCTGTGCAGGAAGCACAGGGCTGTGTTTGCCTTTAGGGCGAGCAGAGCTCTCTCTGGCCGCGTCCTCAGCCGGAGCGCACGGCACTTTTTCAAGCGGAGGAACAACAACTCGAAACACATCTGCCGCTCCACATGCACCGTTTGTGGCTCCTGGCACGGAGCGGATCGAGCGTCGCTGCTGCGCTGCCGCCCTCAGAGCCGCTCTGCGCTGTCACTGCGGCGCAGCTCCAGGATCCCTTTCCCGAGCCCGGATAACGCCGGGCAGCAGCAGCAACGCCCGCTGCGCACCGGCAGCAGCGCACCGGCAGCAGCGCTCCGCACATGGGAACAGAACGTCGGAACGCAGCTCTCACCCCCGCCCCACAATCCGGCTCCGGTCCCTCAGCGCGGCCGCGCCGCCCCGCCGTTCCTTCAGGCCGCCCCCGGGCACGAAACGGCCGCCGGACGGCGAGGCCCCTGAGGGCGAGGCGGGGGGAGGAGCCCGGGGCACGGCCTGCGGGGCCTTCGCGGCCCTGAGAGGGGACCCTCGGGGGTCGGGGCCGGCGCTCGGCGCTTACCGGGCAGCCGCCTCCTCCTCCTCCTCCTTCCCGCGTCTTCGCGGCGCGGCCCGACGTGAGGGGACGGCGCCGGGCCGGGCCGGGCCGCGCGCGCCGCCGGCGGGAGGCGGAGGGGGCGCGGAGGGGCGCGCGCGGACGGCGGAGCCCCCCCCCACCTCGCCCCGTCCCGCCCCTCGCGGGCGGTGCTGCCGCAGTGCGCGTGCGCCAGCCGTCCCACTCCGGAGCCAACCCGGGGCCGAGGAGGCGCCTGCGCCGTGGCGCCGCGCGCGCTCCTATTGGCGGTCTGCGCTCCGCTCGTGCCGCGCGGCACCTGAGGGAGCGGCCGTTCGCTGCCCGGTGCTGCAGCACAGCTTGGTTACCTTTGCAGTGAAAGCGTTTCTTACGTGTTTATGGGATCAGGTTGCGATGAAGGTTTCGTTCCCCATCTTTCCGTGCTGGCAGCGGTTTCTCTGGAAAATGGAGGCACTGCTCAGCCCGGGTCTTTGTGAAGGGGGAGAGCGGCTGGACGTGAGGGGAGAGCTGAGGCAGGGCAGCAGGGCAGGCTGAGCAGAGGCCCGGTCAGGAGGCAGCCCTGCGTATCCTGATCTGCTGCAGTGCAAGTCTGCTAGGTCAGCAAGAGCCATTTTACAGAAGGATTCCGCATTGAAGCTTTAAGAAAGCAAATCCGAAGCTATATTATACAGATCCACAGTGGGGAAGAAGTGTTAGTAATGCTCATCGAGTTCCCTTGGGAGAGCTTGATTTAAATAAGTGATTCCATTCACACCTCGATTGCTACAAAACGCTCATTTAATGCAATATTTAGCGAGGCCAAAGCTGACTTCATAGTAAGTATCAGTGATGGAAAGCTGTGAGGTGTGAGGCTGGCTGCATCAGTAAATAATCCTGGTAAAGGATTAAAAGGATTAAATACCTGATAATGTTAATTACATACCTGCTAACGCAGCATTTTGCCCAGCTACTTCCCTGCCTTTCGTGCTGTTACTGTATATTGCAGTTGCTTTAATTCAGCAATGGCCTTCTGCTAGCCTGTAGATTTCACTGAAGTCGTACAGCTTTTACCTTGTAAAACATGCAGTAGCTCTAATTTGGAAGCAGTAGGAGTGGTCACTTCCAGACCTTTGGCAATCTCAGTCAAACACAATTCACACACTGACTTTAATGTAGGCCCGGTTCTTAATTAAATAAGACCCAAAGAACCCTGACGAACAGATACAGGAGATTTTATTTAACACTGTGTACAAAGAAAGGCTACAAATGCCTTAGACTTTTTCCCCCCAATACAGTTTTTGTATCCCTTTCATACCACTTATCTCAGAAAATAAAAAAAAAAATCCTGAATGATTATTTTCCCCCTTTTTTCCATTTTTCATCACATGTGCCTAAACTGAGAGATATTCAGTCGTTTCAACACCTTTCAGTAGTAAGCTCTTAGGGTTGGTTTTCTTTGCAAAAACAGAGCACTGAGATACCGAAGCACTGACAACAGCAGTATGAAACGTCAAAACCAGACTGTAACACGGTGAAGTTACAACAACTCCAGCAGTATTAATTCTGAAGAAACCCCAAATTATCCAAACAGTAACAAGTTGTTTTTTCTTCTACGCCTGATAAATTATCACTAATTATATAATTTAATTGTATTTATATTTAGTCTTATGACCTCCTTTCACTGGCATTCTTCATGGATTATAAACACACGTAATAGAGATAAGAACAAACCATATAACCAATATAGGCAAGAGAAGGCTTTGTTTTGCTCCCGTTGCTTTTTGCTGGACAGACACAGGAAGGACAACACGTCACATGTGTCCTTCCACGAGATCATACTTAACTTCACCCGACCACTGTGCTGCTCTTTGTCATGCAGCATTAATTCTTCACCCTCTTTTTGCTGCCTTGGATAGTACCTAGTCACTTTTAGCACTGATATCCCATCTCTGTAAAAGATCTGTCCTTGTATATCCGGGATTCCAAATTACTGAGTGACTTGCAGAAGTTTTTGTATGTTGCTGTGGAGCTCAAGACAAGATTTCTCCTAGGCTGTGAGAAGCAGTGAGGAAGAGATCAGAGTGGATGCATTAGAAGAGGCTGTGAAAGGTTGTGAAGAACCTTTCTGCTATGTCAGCAGTCAGCATTTTCATTATGTTACTGCTGTATTTGAAGGAGTTTTAATACTCAGATCAGTTTTCAGCTATTTCCATAATCCCATAATGGTTATGGAAGTCCTCTCCTAAAACATGACTAAAATGGAAGAAATTTGAGCTTGCCTATTTATATTGGCGGTTGATAATTCAATTAGGCACTATAAAAAGATGGGTCTGACCCCATAATTGCTTTCTGGGCTTCGCCTCACCAGGGAAAACGTGAGCCTCTAAGGAGCAAAGCCATCTGCTCACTGGTGGGCTCTTCCCATTGTGGTTCTTTGGCCATCTGTGGGAAGCAGCTATGTTCTCTTTCCAGGCAGGAAGCTGATTTGTATACAAGCATGCTCTTCCACACATCCACAGGGATATAAACTGGTCCTGCAATAGAAATCACTCTGCAGATAAATGGTTGATCTGTAGAATGCCTTGAAATCTCAGAACATCTTGTCACTGCAATAATTACACAAACACAAGCCCTAGCAAAAAATCCAAGAAGAATTCTCCATTCTGATGAATCATTTCAATGAGATGATTTGAACATGACTGCAATTAAGGCAGAGCAGTAAAACAAATATTTTTTCTAGGCTTGGGCACTCTGTGATCATATTCATTCCCAAGTATGCTTGAGCAGGCAAAAAAATAGAACATATCTTACTTGCAAAACAAGCCTGCACAAGCCTGGAGCATTAACACTACCTGGTCCACTCTGTACCAGAAAGCTGGAAATATTCCAGCCATCTCCAGGAATAGCCCTGCTATAAACTCATTTCTGCAGTATAGGATGACGTGGTTTCTGATAGAAAAGGACAGAGGGTCTCTTACTGAAAGAGGAAACGTGACAGTAGAAAGCAAAATGATGTGGCCTGTATTTGCACAGGTCACTGCATGCTTTTACAGGGGTGTCCTCCAGTTCTACTATAGAGTGGCAGAATCAACAGTGGAGGCCCTTGAACAGTTTTCTCATTCTTGCATTAGCACTTTTGCTTGACCCAGGCCTAAATCTAGCACCTGCTCATGGCAGGAGAACCGAGATAATGCATACGCTCCTTTTGCCTTGGCCCTGCTTGCACCATTCAATCACTGCAGGGAGTTGTAGTATTCTATCCTTGCAGCTCAGAAGCAGCCTCTTCCAGCTTAAGCTGTATTCTAACCTCCTGGTTCCATTTTTCTTTGCAGTAGCTTTTCACCTTTGGTTTAACACAGACTCTGGTGCTCTGTTGCCATGGAGGAAAAAAAATGTACAGAGCATGTGATAAGCTTTGCTTTCTTGGCACTGAACTGTGAAGATTCAGTAGTGAGAAAGAGGGCTGCAGCACATCAGAAGGGAGGCTGCAGCAGCTGAATTCCTGGCATTCCTAAATTAATGTTTATTTACTGACAAGGCAGTCAGTTATTGAGGCCACAGGTCTTCTGTAACTTGAAAGGAGAGCTTCTGCTTTGTGCAGTTCCAGATCATCTTATCAGAGTGATTCCTAATTGTTTTTTGGTTGTTTTTTTCAATTTATGTCAGCTTTCTTCCCTAAGACTTTGGTAAGAAATAATAATTAGCTGTGAGTACGTCCTTCTATCAGCAGTCCTTTCTTGATTTTAAGATCCACGTACTTTCATCTACCCAGTGAAAACTTCCATGGAACGCACACGGGAATCCATTTCATTCTGGCTGCGAATGGAAGATTGCTGATATTATTTGTAAGGCTCCGTGATCCCAGCTGCAAGAACCCCGTGTTAAAGGAAGTGGATGGTATCTGATTTTTCAGGCAGCACTACAAAGGGACGTTAGCAAAGCTTCCAAAGCAAAACGTACCTGGACTAAACAAAAACCTAAGGAGGAACAAGTAAGCGACTGACTTGCCAACGACTCCAAATTTTGATTATTCTGAACATATTTACTTCCTTTTTCAGATTTTTCTGCAAGGAACAGAAGCAAATCCCTCAAATCCAGCATGAATGTGTTGGTCTTCTATTACTGCAAGTTTCTCTTTGAATTGAAGAGAGAAAGAGCAGAGGCTTTTCTCAGACATTTCCCACTTCTTCCTAACATTGCCATGCTGGGAATGCCACATCTGACAGCACTGCCTCAGCAGAACAAGCCCTGAAAACAAAGGACTCAGCAACCAGTGAGGAACCAGAGAGGGTCGCTTTTTTCTCCATCAGATTTTCAGTATCTCTGAAAGCTGTGCTGGTCAATTTACATTCTGTGCATACTTCAAGAACGGTACATTGAGAGAAATGAACAAGTTGCCATGCCTTCCAGTGTTACAGTGGGTGACAGGCAAACTTAGAGCTCCACATATGCTTTGCAGAACAGTACATCCATTTAAATAAACTCATATAAAAGTAACTCAACTGTGAGACACAATTTTAAACAGGTAAAATGAATAAGCTGTGGAAATACTGCAGCTTCCATCAAACACTCTGTGGTTCCACCACCTCGTGGCCAACGCAACACATTGCAGTTCTGCTCCATCTGCACGCTGACAGCCTTAGTATGAGCAATGGAAAGGTGGAATCAAGGCGAGCAGTTGGCATCAGCAAATACAGTCAGTGCACAGCTGTACTTTGCCCTTAGCTGATATACAAAAAATAGCAGCGTTAGAAGCCTGCAATAGCTTGGCTGCACCTCAACTTGCTTAAAGTTGTGCAAGGATAAAGAACACCAGCAGCATTTCGATGGATGTGTTTCAGTTTAATTTCAACACCCTCCCACGAAAAGCACACACAAAACAAAGCTCAGAATGATGTAGCACTATTTTCTTCTTGCCCATCATTAAAACCTTTTCCCTTATTTTGCTTTATTTTTTAATTAAAAAAAAAAAAAAAAAAAAAAACTGATCACTGTTTTTTTCTTGTTTTTTTTTTTTTTTTTGTTTTGTTTTGTTTTGTTTTTAAAGAGAATTTTAGAATAGTTTCTAACTGCCAAGAAACCTATGCTTCTTTCTCAAACTGGAGGCACAGTCTGTCCTAACGA